ATCTATCGGGCTACATCTCAAAATTCGACGGCGTAAATAGTAGGGTATGTAGCATAAAAGTAAATACGAGATGTAAAACCTTAAATATTGTAAATATCTATATACCAGTGAACTATACTGAAAAACAACTATTCTTTATTTTTCTTGACGAATATCTAAATAAATTTCCGAAACGCGAAAACTTACTAATTGCTGGGGATTTTAATGCGAAAGTAGGAAAAATCGATATAAAGAATCATATTTCCCTTGGTTCAGGAACACTAAATATTAAATCCGATATTGGAGGAAAACTACTATTAAAACTCTGTCATAAGTTAGATCTTCGTATAGCTAATACTTTCTTCGAACATTCGGATAAAAGAGAGATATACACATATTTTAGCCCAACATACAATACTTGGTCTCAAATAGACTATTTTATTTGTAATAGGTCGACTATGAGCTGGATAAAAAATATTAAAGTTCATTATCAGGTTTTATTTAACTCTGACCATAAAATTATAGGTTGCTCTATGGTAATAGACCCGAAGATATGGCATATGAGGAAGAAAAGAAACGGAAAGTCACTTTCGAAACGTCCCAAATTAGATATCGAGGCTTTAAATGATCACAATATCAAAACTGAATATATAGAACAAATCAGAAATAATTCTCATAAATTTATCAATCATACTAACAACTTATCCTCGGACACACTATGGGAAAATACCCGTGACATTTTCAACAATGCGGCATCAAATTCCTTACCAGCCAAGATGAATTATCCGGACTGGATCTCAATAGAATCAAAAAATCTTATTTCAAATCTAGTGGGGAGTGGTCATTATAGGAGAAACAGAGCCATGTATATCCTAAACGATATTAGTCATAAACTCAGAAGAGATAAGAGGAAATTCCTTGAGGATCGTGCCACTGAGATAAGTAATTCGTTCAGTGCAAATGATTCATATAAAGCTTTTAAATTATTGAAATCCTTCACTTCCTTCAAAAAAGAGCAATTTTTTAAACTTAGTCACAACGCAAAAGAAATCACAGATCCAGAGATACAAATGGAAATATGGGTTTCACATTACTCTAAAATATTTAATAACAACGAACCCATTCATTAAATTTGAATTTTAAAAAAATATGCTTAATGAGGAAGAAATTCAATGAAAGTTGAGAAACTTTTCATACAATTGCTCTTTTGATCATATGCATGGATCTTTTTATGGGAACGCGTCTAGTATTCAATCGTTCCTTAATTGTAAATATGAACTTTCCACCACCTGCATTGCCTCCAGTTGAAAATGATAAAATTGCATAATTGCAACGAACCCTCCTCTACATCAAATAACCAAATAGTAATATCTCCCATTGATCAATGTCCATCTACCTCAAGTTTCTGGCCTCCAAATCCGCTAAACCGTGGACTTCCCCAATTCCTTCCCGCTCAAAATTCTTATATCTCAAATCTTTTATCTAATTCTACATACAACTCAAATTTAGAATCTCCCATTGTCCAAAATGCATCTTCCTCAAACTCCTGGCCTCCTCAGCAGAACCCTACTAAATGGCTTCGGATCTATGCCCTCAAAACTCCTCTTCTTATGATCTCTTGCCATCTAAATTATTACATTTACCAAACCAAAGTGAGTCTTCCATTCATCATGGTCCATCCACTTCGTACCTCTGGTCCCCACAATTATTTCTCCCTCAAGATAATACCCATAATACTACATCTTTATCTACACATTCTTCCCCCTCTACCTTATTCCAAAATACAGATAGAATCATAGATCCTGTTAAGAGTGAAATAATAAATATAATAAAGAAACTAAAAAATCACAAGGCGTGTGGTCAAGATAATATTCGTAGTGAATATTTAAAAACGGACCCTATATTATCCGCCGATATACTATTCCCTATCATATCGAGAGTATGGAAGGAAGGGATATGCCCTAGTGATTGGCTATCAGCTATACTAATTAATTTTCCAAAAACTAAGTACCCTAAAACTCTAGAGGATTGGAGAGGAATCTCACTAAATTCTATAGTTTATAAGATTTTCACTAACTTAATCCTAAATCGACTCAAATCTTTTATAGAACGAGATTATGTGGATTCAATAGTTTCATTTAGAAAGGGACATAATGCTCTTGAAGCTATTCTCAACTTAAAGATACAAATGGAGAAATCTATAATACGGAAAAGGCAATTAATAATTATTGCTCTTGATTTTAAGAAAGCTTTTGATACGATTAATCATGATAGGTTATGGATAGCATTAGAAGAAGTTAATACTCCAACTTCATTGGTAAAAATATTAAAAAATATCTATAACGATTACTCGATACAAATTATCCATGCGGGTCATAAATCAACAAAAATACCAGCTAAGATAGGTTTGAAACAGGGATGTGTCCTTTCTCCTCTTCTTTTTAATTTTATTACAAACTATATCATAAAAAGAGTGACTAAACAATGTTTAGCTCAGATTCCCATCGTGAAATTTAATATTCTTGCTTTTGCCGATGATATTTGTATTATAGGAGATTCTATATCACACCTCCAATTGCTAGTGGACATGATGACCCAAGTTGCTGACCTTTTTGGTTTAAAAATAAATATTGATAAAACAAAGTTGATGACATCAATATTCTCCCCTACAAACATAAATCTAACGATACAAGGGGAAAAAATAGCAGAAGTTCAACAATTAAAATATCTAGGAGTGATACTAGATAGAAAAGGAAATACAAAGCTAGACCTAATAGCTAAAATAAATAAAGGCAGACAGAAATATAGATCCTTTATGAAAATATGGAGTTCGAATCAATTATCAATTCCGTTAAAGATTCGATTATTTAAAACCTTAATATTCCCCTCCCTAATCTATGGTATAGAAACTTGGAAAGATACCAAACAAGAAAGTAAAAAGATGCAAGCGTTCATTAACAAATGTCTTCGATATATTACCAAAACTTTCTACCCGTATAATACTTCAAATCATAATCTTTGGTCCAGATGTGACATTCTCCCTATATATAGACTATGTGAATATAGGAAAATCGAAATATTAGGGCACATTCTCAGACAAGCCCCAAACAACCTAGTATATCAAGCCCTTTTTATTACCCCTTTAGAAGAATTATCTCTCAAACCTTTCCTATCCTACAAAAATAGTTGGTTTGGTAGAATAATTCGATCATTATCGGACATAGATCTATCTTGGGAATTCATAAAACGTGCTTCGTTAGATAGGAAAACTTACAAAATCGTTTTAAGACTTATTTACGAACACTTGACGAATAACTGCTGAGAATGTAACAAGTAAAGATGATGATTAAATTAAATTAAATTTGGTTTATTATTTAAATATATAATTCCATATATTACTTTGATATAACAATGAAAGTTGAGTAAGTAAAGTTATGTTATTACTAAAAAATACAATTTCTTATATTGCTTTGATATATATCTAAGAGTTGAAGTAATTGAATAGGGCTATAGTAAATGAAGGCAGATTAAATTAGTGCACATTGTAAGATAATTTCTAATAGATTACATTACATTATGAGATTTAAGGTCAAATAGATTAAATAGATAGATATTTTAAACTAAATAATTATAAAAATTAAATATAATTATATTTTCTAACTAAATAATTGGGAACAAATTGTAAATAAACTAAATAAATTTAATAATCATAATAATAATAAAAATTAAGACTAACTATAAAAAAATAATGTTAGATAATTAACTAATGACTAATAATTTGTATTGGATGATACAGTACTACTATTTTTTTCCTTTTAAATATGCTCATAATCTTATTCACTATGCTATTATTATTATTATTGGATTGGGTGAGTTCCACTCCTCTTAATAATTATATCTGGGTTACAAGGTTTGTTGGTATCCTTGAGGAAAAAAATCGGCATAATTATTATGGAGGATAGGGCCTCTATAGTAATTCACGTTCGCTCATTTTGGGCAGGTCCATGACCAACGTGCTAGATAAGATAAGATAAGAATATAAAAAGGAAAAACTGATGTTTAATGTTTCAAATGATTAGATGAAAAATCAATATAAAACTCGGCTCAACATTTAATAATGAATAAATTTAAATAAAATAAAATTTTATTTTCATTAAATTTTAATTAACAAATATTATTAATATTTAAAAAATAATATAATTTATATAATAAATTTAAAGGAGCGGAGACTGTCTAAATCCATAATATCTAAAACTATTTTTTATTATATATCTATAAAATGAATATTAATATGACTTACAAGATTTTTCAAAAAATTTTCAATATAAAAAGGAAAAACTGATGTTTAATGTTTCAAATGATTAGATGAAAAATCAATATAAAACTCGGCTCAACATTTAATAATGAATAAATTTAAATAAAATAAAATTTTATTTTCATTAAATTTTAATTAACAAATATTATTAATATTTAAAAAATAATATAATTTATATATTAAATTTAAAGGAGCGGAGTCCGCTCCAGCCCTAAAAGGAGCTACTCCCGCTCCCGCTCCTCATTTTTAAAAAGGAAGGGCGCTCCAGCTTTTTTTGAAAAAATGTAGCGGCGCTCCGGAGCGCCGCTCCTGTAGCGCCGCTCCTTAACAAGACTGATTATAAATAAGACTAAATACTATGGTTTGAGTAAGAATAAATTTAATTAGTTTCTTTAAGGTTAATATAACAGTCTAAGATAAAAATATAATTTGCATATAATCTAATAATTAAAACTTATAATCTGAAAATATAATAAATAAAATTAATATAGTCCCCTTCAATCTCAGGTAAAAATTGATATATATATATATATCATAATTTCATTTTTTAGCTAATTTAGATTTTACCTCATCCTTTATTATTATGTTTTTTTTTCAGCTGCAATCATAAATAATGGTAAGCAGCTTTACTTTATTACATGACACCCAACCTCCCAATGGAGTATATAATATAACAACAATCTTTTATTTTACAAGGACACAAATAGGTGTTGATTTAAGTGCTTTGCCTGAAAGTGAGGATGCTATAAATACATTGCTGTATCAGTTGATTATTTCAGCAAATATATTGTAGCCATGCCTTTAAAAGATAAAACAGCAAAATCGGTATCGCGCTTCCTTTACTCGTTACCATGCACACATGGTAGGGCCAAAGTATAATAAATTTGGTAATAAAATATTAATATTATATATAGATTCAAATTAATGATAAAGGACGTGAGTTTGTGAATTAAATAAGCAATAATTTTCACAAACTCGTAGGGATCATGCAGAGGGTGACAAGTGCATATCACCCTCAAGCAAATGGCATGGTTGAAAGAGTGGATAGGACAATCCAAAATGCACTACTAAAGTGAATTAAGGATGATCAATTAATTTGGACAGATGCCTTGCCTGGCATAATATTTGCCTATAACACTTCACTACACGAATCTTCGAAATTTACACCTTATGAGCTGAGCTCCGTGAAGTTGGCCGAACGATTGGAAGCACTAACGATGAATCATATGTCATTTTTTAGTGCTTCGTTAGTGCTTGTTAGTGCTTCAATCCGTTTAGTAGCCGAATTTAAGGAAAAAATGTTATAAGCAAAAATAAAAATTTGTGCCAATTTCACGCTTAAAAGTCGATTGGAATCACTAACGATGAAACTTATATCATTCTTTAGTGCTTCTAGAGGTTAGTGCTTCAATCCATTTTGTAGCCGAATTTATGAATAAAAAGTTATTCACGAAAAAAACAAAAATAAACAAATAATAGCGACGTGCCAAAACAAAAACTATAGGAGTACTATACATCCGGTTTTCGCCATTGTTTAGTGCTTAATTAGTATATTTAAATTCCGTAATTTATTTTGTTAACCGTCATATGAAAAAATTGTAACACGCTAAAGAAATTTTTAGAGGTCAAATTTCGGCTAGAAAATTATGAAAGCACTAACGATGAAACTTATATCATTCTTTAGTGCTTCGTTAGTATAGTGCTTTAATCAGTTTTGTAGCCGAATTTAAGAATAAAAAGTTATTCACGAAAAAAAACAAAAATAAACAAATAATGGCGACGTGCCAAAACAAAAACTATAGGAGTACTAAACATCCGGTTTTCGCCATTATTTAGTGCTTAATTAGTATATTTAAATTCCATAATTTATTTTGTTAACCGTCATATGAAAAAATTGTAACACGCTTAAGAAATTTTTAGAGGTCAAATCTTGTATTTTTATTAATAACTTCTTTAGTTGTTTTGATAATTTCTAGAGAAGAGTTGAATACAATTATTCATATCTATCTATAGAAACATAATCAATTTGATATATTCTTTTCTTAAGATTCTAATTTGAATTATTGATATGCTATATTGAATCAGGGTAACTATCAGAATTCCTGCATAATTATATTGATAATAATGAGATCTAAATATATAAGTTTCATCGTTAGTGCTTTCATAATTTTCTAGCCGAAATTTGACCTCTAAATATTTCTTTAGCGTTTTACAATTTTTTCATATGACGGTTAACAAAATAAATTACGGAATTTAAATATACTAACTAAGCATTAAATAATGGCGAAAACCGGATGTATAGTACTGCTATAGTTTTTGTTTTGGCACGTTGCCATTATTTGTTTATTTTTATTTTTTTTTCTAATAACTTTTTATTCTTAAATTCCGCTACAAAACTGATTAAAGCACTAACCTCTACTAACGAAGCACTAAAAAATGATATAAGTTTCATCGTTAGTGCTTTCATAATTTTCTAGCTGAAATTTGACCTCTAAATATTTCTTTAGCATTTTACAATTTTTTCATATGACGGTTAACAAAATTAATAACGGAATTTAAATACACTAATTAAGCACTAAATAATGGCGAAAACTGGATGTTTAGTACTCCTATAGTTTTTGTTTTGGCACGTCGCCATTATTTGTTTATTTTTGTTTTTTTCGTGAATAACTTTTTATTCTTAAATTCGGCTACAAAACTGATTAAAGCACTAACCTCTACTAACGAAGGACTAAAGAATGATATAAGTTTCATCGTTAGTGCTTTCATAATTTTCTAGCCGAAATTTGACCTCTAAAAATTTCTTTAGCGTGTTACAATTTTTTCATATGACGGTTAACAAAATAAATTACGGAATCTAAATATACTAATTAAGCACTAAATAATGGCGAAAACCGGATGTAAAGTACTCCTATAGTTTTTGTTTTGGCACGTCGCCCATATTTGTTTATTTTGTTTTTTTCGTGAATAACTTTTTATTCATAAATTCGGCTACAAAATGGATTGAAGCACTAACCTCTACTTACGAAGCACTAAAGAATGATATAAGTTTCATCATTAGTGCTTCCAATCGACTTTTAAGCGTGAAGTTGGCACAAATTTTTATTTTTGCTTATAACTTTTTTTCCTTAAATTCGGCTACTATACGGATTGAAGCACTAACAAGCACTAACGAAGCACTAAAAAATGACACATGATCCATCGTTAGTGCTTCCAATCGTTCGGCCAACTTCACGGAGCTTATGAGCTGATGTATGGTAGAAAAGCAAAACAAGCTTATGTATGATAAATCTCATTTTATAATCATATATTATATATTATGTCTCTATTTAAGATTGACGAGGAAGAGGATATTGATCCTGACAATGTACCTGAAGCAGATATCTTGTTTTCAAGATACAGTTTCCAGGATGAATGATATTCATGAGATAGCTGCTGGCAATATAGATCTTGCTCAGCTTAAACAGCAGAGGGATTATAGAAGTCGTAATGCTGGTAGAAATAACCATTATTTAGTCAATGATCAAGTGCTTATTTGGAACTACCGTCGGGCTGATAGGAAAGGTGGCAAAATGACCAGACCTTGGATGGGTTCTTATACAATAGTTAGGATTCTTAAAAGTAAAATTTATCATTATTATTAAATTATTTTTAATATAGGCAATGTTGAGCTCATGAATGCTAGCGGTAGCATTTTAAAGAGCAAAGCAAATATATGTAATATAAAACATTACTTTGCAAGAAAAGGAATATAATTGTCTTAATTACTTAGTAATATACATATTTTTTAGATGATAAAAACTCTGAGGTAGTGAGTTATAATGAGGAGTTAAATGCTCAAGAAAATCACTTGAACGGTATTATTTATAAAACTCACAATTTTTTTAAATATTTAGTCTCAAAATTACTCAACACGATTATTGGAGAAGAGAATAAGAATTGTGAAGACCAAAAATATATTGACATTTTCGAACTTAACCTTAAATTAATATATAAAACTTTAAGAGTTAATTTTAAATACAAATTAAGCAAAATTGCCATAAATATCAATATAATACTTAATCTTTACACGTCAGTCATAAATGTCAGCATTAATAAAAATATTATATTTAATCTTTATACGTCAGTCATAAATGTCAATATCACTAAATATATTTGATCTTAACATGTCAGTCATAAATGCCAATATCACTAAATTAGAATCTATTTAAAACAGGGATTCACTTAACTATCCATAACAATAGAAAATATAATACTTCATCTTTACACGTCAATCATAAATGTCAGTATCACTAAAAATATTATATTTAATATATGCGCGTCAGTTATAAATGTCAATATCATTAAAAAAATTATATTAAATCTTAACATGTCAGTCATAAATGTCAATATCATTAAATTGGAATTTATTTAAAACATGATTTCACTTAGAACGTTGCACCGGCGAAGAGTGACTAAAATAAATGTGAATTATAAAACCAGGATATGAATGACTATAAAATAAATGACTCAAAATAGAAATTTAAATTTTTTTGAGCCTTTAAAATTTATATATAAAGTATAAAAAATTTAAATGTAGGAAATATAAATTAAATTAATACACAAGTTTTTTATGAATATTTGTATTTTATATGTTATAACTTATAAAGTATTCATGAAAAAATATATAACACATTAAAAAATAAAATTGCACAGAAAATATTATTAAGAAGCATATTATATTTTTATTATGTAAAATCCAATCTTCGTAGAGATTGTGCTAATTTTTCAATTATCTCATCATATGCTTGGCGTCAAATGTCTATGAATATTCAAATGACCCAAATCATTCAATTTACTTTCAGAAGTTATACTTCTTAGGTACGTTTTTATTCTCCTGGAAAAATATATAAAAGATGTTATGATGCAAAGCATCCATAGCATTTTTCGGACAACCATAGTTAATCTTTTATACCATAGTTGGCATTCAGCTAATGAAGCATCATAAGATATTTTAACATCTTCATGATAAAAATCTGCCAAATATTTTTTTTCCTATACCAACTGAAAACGGTTGAGATGGCTTATGTGGAAATAATATCTGCAGATTGGTAAGTTCTGCCTGATGAATTAAAAATTGTTCAATTACATGGGTTGTAAATGTATCTAGGAGAGGGATAAAGATATTTATTTTATAATACTCTTCTGCTGATCCTATATTAATGTTTGGACGATGAGCTTGCCCTGCTGCAAATCGAAGGAGACAAATATTAAACTCGTATAGCTCTGCTTTTGATTTAACAAAATATGAAATTCCTCATCAACATTAGCTCTTGAGTTTTAATAAAAAATTCTCAGCGTCTCTTACATAAAATAGTTGTATAATTAAATAATTAATTACTACATTCTAATGTGAAAAAATAAATTTGGTATAATAATCTGCTTGCTTCTGAGGAAATATCTCATTCAGGCCATTGTGATATTTCAATAAGAACTTCAATAATCGGCTCTTCTAACTCAATTAAAGCTGCTTGATGGCCAAAACTCCATCTCGTTGGACAAGCTTTTTGCAATTTTTTTCTAATTGTTGGACATCAAAAATAATTCTGTTTAAAATATTTTGTTGCTTGGGATATCTAAACATCTCATAGATGCTAGATATTTTGCCTGATATAAATATATAAAATTTAATTATAATAAATAAAATTATACCTAGCAATTTGATATCAATGGTAAAGAACATAATTAGATATTGCCAAGTTGATCGAATGAACAGCACAATGGACATATATAGCTGTTGGATACTATTTTTTATAATTGTATGAAGCAGTGACGAAGCGTCAAGTTCACTACTAGGGAAGCAATCAAAAAAAAATTATTATTTTTATTTTGGTCAAACTCAAACCATAAAAACATTAAGATTTATAATAAATGGTATTCGTCTTTGTTTTTGAGTAAAATGATAGTACTGCATTATAAAAGTTATTGCTAGATTTAAAATTTTTTAATAATTTTTTTCCAATCGAAATCAAAGATAGATTCGATAATCGATTTTGGCTCATCCTGTTTCTGCAATAAGATTTGATTCTTTTTAAAGATGAAAAACTCCGTTCTGCACCTGTTGTTGTTGAAGCCAAAGTTAAGATGAATTTGCATAATTTAAAAAATTCTTTAAAATTTTCATCAAATCGGTGCATATTAAAATTCAAGTATTTCATTAACATTCTTTTTCTTTCTAAATTCAACATCCCGTAACACTACCTTTAATTCGGTTTCAACATCCCGAAACACTATCTTTAATTCGGTTTCCAGCTTGTGTAAGTCAAAAAATTGAGAATAAGTGTCGTTTAAATTATCTCATAAATATTTTGGGAAATTTTGATTATTTGGAATTTACATATATCTAACAATTCGACGAATTTAATATTTGGTGTAAGACATATGAAATAGAATTAATCAAATCATTTTGAATATCGCTTGATAGTCCAATAAAAACTGCACTATTTCTAAATGATGTATCAATTGTAAATTATCTTCCGCGAGCAAATAAATTAATTCAATATAATTTCCTCTATTAACTGAATTAGAAGGTTCATCATCACCACTGAATGCGAGCTCCTGGATTCCAAGAAAACATAAAGAGTTTATCAATATTTCTCTATTTAATTTGACTTTAGAATTATGCTGTTCGATTGATATTTTGCGCATCGAATCTATCATATTTATAATTTTTGCCAAATGTTTTAAATTGAATCATCGACTGAAAATGAGCGGTTGATTCTTCATGCCATTTAACTGCTTTGAAAAATTATTCATATCCGAAAATCTTTTATCATACCAAACATATTTTTCCTTTGGGAATAACAGGCATGACCAACAATATAGAGAATTAGAAAATTCACATTCAGTGAGCCATTCATATTTTTCATATTTATCGATAGAAAAATTATGGATGCAAGTTTTGATTTCTTTTTTTGAGTTTTGTAAAATTGGTTTTGGTCTTCCTTTTTCAATAATCAATTTTTTAGCATCAAAATTTCTTGAGCTAAATGATAATGTTATTAAATTTTCAATAATACAATTACAATTATTAAGCATTAATAAAGGATTTTAAAAAATTTTTTATTTTCAAAAAGTAAGGAAAAAAATATTATATAAAAAATTTCTTTCTCTTTTATTTATTAAAAAAATAAGCATTTTTTTATTTGCTTCCCCAATGCTTATTTTTTAATGGTACACAATACCATGGCATGATTTTCTCTTTATTTATTAAAAAAATAAGCAATATTAAATTTGCTTCCCTCATATAAATTTTTTTTAACGTAGTAAAAATAAATTTTTTAACGTAGTAAAAAAGTAACTTTTTTATCATAGTAAAAATAATAGTATTTCTTAATATAGTAAAATGATATTAATTAAAAAATTATATTAATCTTTTTATAACGAAGTCAGTTTAGTTTATTTAGCATAGTACAAAGATTATATTAAGTTTATTTAAAAATTTTGTAAAAAAAATTTAATATGGACGCCTTGTCACTGGTATGAAGCCCATTTAATTGCCTACTCATTCCACGAGCTCTTTCATACCATTGCAAAAAAATTTCTTATTCCATAATTATTATTTGACTAGAAATTTGAAAATAGTAGATAAATATTACGCCACTAGAATTAGAAAATAATAGATAAATATTGTGCCAAGAAAAACTTGAAATCAAAATTAATTGATAAAATGACTTAGTAAATGAATGTGATAAATGTATATTTAAAAAGAAAGAGATAGGAATAAATATTATCAAATATAAATTAATTTAAGAATAATATTTTTGAAAAATATATCCGGCATCTGCTTTTTTTTCCCCCAATTCCCCCCCCCCCCCCCACTGCATACGCACCTGCATATATATGTTCAATTTAAAAAAATAAAATATACATAATTAATTTGATAGTAATAGGTTGAATACTTTTATTAATCAAATTTGATACTGCGTCCATCAGTGGTTGACTATATTTTAGGCCAATAATTTTTTTTAATTTTAAAATAACTATCGTTATTGTTGGGGTCAAATAGCCATAGCCAAAACATTTATTCTTCAAATTTAATGATTTTATTAGTTATATTATATAAAATAAAATAATCAATATTACAATCAAATGTCGTTTTAAATTGGAACTTGAAGATTTTGAAACTAATATAATACTTTTTGGGCAAAAGCGTTTTTAATATTGAACGAACGTTAAATTTGAACGCGTCGTCATAATAAAGGAACGCGTTCACGTTCAAAGTTTGTCAAAAATAAAAGGAACGCCGTTCATCATTTTTTCAAAAAATTGCTTCGATCACAAACGCGTTAAGAATGAACCCGTTTGTTTACAACACTTGTTGACATAATCAATAAACCTTTATCTTTGTGGCATAGCCATAAACTAGCTATCAACACAACTCACCATTCTGAAATTATGACTTAACCTGCATTAAGCAGTCAATGTATTTTAGTTTTTACAATGTAACTGGTTCATTGGCTAATATTATATAATATTTCTCATGATCTGACATAAATCCTTCAGGGTATCACTAGCCTTTACAATCTCAGGAGGCTCAAAATTTTTTAGCAAAAAAAATTCAAAATTTTGAGGAAACTCTA